TGTCTGACAGTAGCTACAGGGTCTTCGTACTCCTAGCAGCAGAGAGAAAGTTCTTAGGGTACGAGCCATCTGGGCTGAGGCCAACATAACACCCAGCACACCCAAAAGGCCTGATTGAATGAGCTGATCCCAGGGGCTGCATGGGCCAGAGCAAGATGTCAACCTGGCTACCAGGAGCCTTGGTCCTAGCTTGGCTCCTACCTCTTTTGCTGTGTGTTCTTGGGCGAGTCCCTTGCCCTCTCTGTCCCTTGGGCTCCAGGTCCGTAAAACAAAGAAAACTGAGCTCAGAGGCCTCCAAGGGCCTTTCCAGTTCTTCTGTACTCAGATTCTAATTTGGTTTGCACTAATTAGGAATCGGAGACGATTTAAATTCAATACATAGGATCCTTAGTGAGTAAACAATTGGAAATAATTCCTTCCTTTATGACTTCTCAAAGACTCACTCATGAGCAATGAGAACCCAAGCTAAAATCAATAGCTTTTATTTTTCAGAGAGAGAAATTGCAGATTCCGCGAGCTGCTGGGCATTGCAATTCATTCTTGTATTTTAAAATTTTATGTTTATGTTTATGGACTGCCATTAGGTAATATGGATTCATCCTGAAGGTTGATTTTTTTCATTAACTTAACTCATTTTACTTATTAGTTCACATTTATAGCTCGGGTTTAATAAGCACACAGTGCAAAAGTCATAAAGCAGCCCTCTTCCTTAGCAATATTTTAAAATCAAGACTCTTCTCTGAGTCAGCCCAGGTTTATTTGCTCATAACTTGCTTCTGCTGATTTGAGGCCCAGCACCCCTGGCTGCGGCCTGTCACTTGACTCTGAGCTCCGGTGTCCTCACAGGAGAATGGCACCACTAATTAATAAAAGCCATCGATGCTTAAATTTTAGCCAACCATCACTTACCATACTCCAAGTGCTTCTCGTGTTATCTGTTTGAGTCCTACATCGCTCTGAACTGGCTTTATGTTTTTCACTTTATAGAGAAGGAACCAGAGAGGGTTCCTTCTCTATAAGGAACCTCAGAGAGGTTAAACAACCTGCCTGGGCCCCTTGAACTTCTATCCGTTCACCATCATTTCCAACTGCCTAGGCTCCTTTCTGCTTTTCATCTACCTGAGCACACCTCTGCTCTATGACCTTCGGTGGCTCCCCATTACCCTTGAGCAAAGGTCATCTTCCTGGGCCTGGCATTCAAAGACCTTACCCAGGCAACCCCTGCCTTCCCTTCCTGCCTCATCTCCCACTCCGCCCCAACAGGCAGCCTTGGCTCATGGTCCTGAATACCCAGCCCACATTTGGGTACCCCCATGCCTTCGCTCACCCTGACCCCTTTGCCCACAGCACCCTCCTCTCATCTCCATGTATTTAAATCAGCCCCCTCTTCCAGGAAGCCTTCCCCACGGCCCACACTGGGAAGGACCCCTCCTTCCTCTGAACTGTATGATGTGAGCTATGTGATGAACCCTGCTCATCTCTGTCATCCTGGAGTCCCAGGTACACAGCAGGTACTCAATGAGTGCTTGTGTTGCTAGTGGTCCCCAGGAAACGGACCTCCTTGTGTCTTCTCTGTGGCCTCCAGGACCAGCCAGTGCAAACTCAAGGGAAAGACCCTGCCCGGGTTCTATCACCCGTCAATAGATCTGCCTCCCTCCTTTCCTGCAAGCTTCCTTCCATCTTCCCAGATTTGTCACTTTCCTTCTAGGTCAACCATTTTCCTCTTATCTCCCATCAAAATGTCCCTGTCCTGAGCCCCCTGTACTCAGCCGAATGCTGCATGAATGGTCTTCTGGTTTCTGGCAAATGAAACCCAGATACTTTGTTAATGGCGAATCCTGGCAGAGGAAGCTAGATCCCGGGGGGCTGTGGACCACTCTGTATCTGGGCTTAAGATCCTTAGTTTGGCACAAGGGGAAACTGAGACCCAGGAGAGGGGAACAGGGGACATACATAAAGGTGTTGGCTGGATTCTCAGTCAACGCTCCCTGGGGACTCTCTCTGACTCCCTGGGCTGTCTTGGCCACGGGAATTAAAATCACAACAGCATCAGCAGGCTCTGCACTTTACAGTTTGCATGTGCTTTCCCTGAGGTAGTTGGTCATCTCCACAAGCTCAGTGGGCTTTCACTGGGGCTCAGAGAGGCAGGTTGCATGTCCTGATGACACGGCCTATGGCTGGGGGCAGGGTCGGGGCTGCAAGACAGGGCTGGCTGGCCGGCCCCTCAGCTGGTGCCATCGCCTGCTGGCTTCTCTACCTGCCGGCGGCGGCCCCGTGTGCCTGTCTGGCTCTGTCTGCACGTCCTGTTCCCCAGGCTGGGATGAGAGACTAAGCCAAAGGAGATATGGGCCAAGGGCAGGAGGTGCCCCTCTCCCTGGCAGCAGGGGGATCGGACTCTAGTCACGTGGAAGCCAGGGAAGGTGGCGCAGGCCAGGCCAACTCACATCCTGGAGAACAGGGCTTCCTGGGCTGCTGTGGGATGGCCTAAGCCTTCTGGCTGCCTGGGCCAGATGGCCCCTGGCCACGTACTGCCCAGCTGGCATTGCTAGGCCTGGACCCCGGGCTGGAGCTGCACTTGACAGTGACTCATACACATGAACAATATACACACGTTCACATGCTGAGCTTCCTCCCCAGGCCACAGTGGGGCCCACCCTCCAGTGCCACTATGAGCTTATCTGTGGGTGTTTATGACACACAGGATCCTATATTTCTCTAGTTCACATTCTGTTTTAAAACAGCTAGATGGGTGAGTGGGTGGGGGTGTCCCACAGTGATCAAGAGCTTCTGCTCTTAAATCAGCTGTGGGTCAAATCTAATCTGTGCTATTTAACAGTCATGTGTCCGCCAACTTACTTAACCACTTTGAGCCTCCATTTCTCATCAATAAAATGGGAATAATAGCACAGTGAGGACTAAATGAGGAACTGCACATAAAGCACTGACCCCAGGACCTTTGCATTTCGTCTCCCACTCCGCCCTGACAGGCAGCCCTGGCTCAAGGCTCCCCACTTGGGTATCTCCATGCCCTTGCTTACCCTGCCCCACTGCCCACAGCACCCTGCTGTCCTCTCCACACACACACCATCTGCCCCCTCCTCCAGGAAGCCTCGGCGTGTCTGCTGGGGTCTTCAGGGACATTGTCATCAGGAAGTTGTGGGGGAGAGGCTTAGATTGGTATCTCCACCTGTGAGTTCTAGAACTGGGCTTTAGACCTGACCACAAGAGATTGTAGGGACTGCCTGTGGGCCCAACACCCCCTTTCACAGATGGAAAAACCAAGGCCCCACAAACAAGAGTATGTACCTGAGTGCTCCCAGCAAGTTTGAGTGGCATTGGGACTGGAACCCATGACTCTTGTCTGCAAATCCTGGGGTGGGAGCTGGGAGGTCCTCTGCGGCTGCCTCCTCCTGGGAGTGACCCCCTGCCAGGGGTCTATTAATTGAGTGGGTGGTCTGCTTCTTTCAGCATGTTTGATGGAGCATGGGTTGGGGTGGGAATGAAAGGTGGAAGCTGGGGGTCCCCCAGATGAGCCTCTTCATCAAATGTGTGTGGGGAAGAGGCCCAGAGAGACTGAGACACAACCATGATCCCGATGGGGGCCGAAGCCAGGACCATAGGCACCGTGGGGGGAGCCCCAAGGAAGGCACCACTGCATAGCACGCTGCTCAAGCAGTCTCTGTCGTCCCCTCTTCCCTGCAGCCGTTTATTTATTTCTCTATCTTACCCTTCTGGAAAAAGCCGAGACTGCCACCCTTCCTGGGAAATTCACTCCCACACCCCTCAACCCTCCCCAGTGGGTGACATTAGCACTCACCGGCTCGCAAAGTGTGCTAATGACATTTGCATTTTGCTGGCTGTTGAAATGTGGGCTAGGGTGTGGGGATCCCATGGGCAGGTGGGGCCTTTGCAGCCTGCAGGGAGGGGCTGGTAGGCTGGGCTGGGGACCCATGCTGGTCCAGGAGAGGCAGAGAAAGGGGATCAAGGTCGGGGGTGGGGGAGAGGGAATGAATGGCTGGTAGAATGGAGAGATTTTTGCCTAAAGACTTGCCAAAGACACAGAGCAGCTCCCGGTCCAGTGCTCCACCTCCCCCTGCAGGCGCTCACAGTATCCTCCTCTGCATCACATCCCCAACATCGATTGAGCGAAGGCTCTGCTGTGGGCTTCACAGACTTAAGAAAGTCATTTTTGACTGCCTGCAATCCTTGAAGAGAGATGCTATTATTATCCCCGCTTTATAGACGAGGAGACTGATGCTCTGAGAGGACCCCTGACTTACCCGGGTCCACTTCTGGAAAAAAGTGGCCCCAGCATGTGGCGATGATCTACCTGCCTCCAAAGACCATGCTTCTGGCCACTGCAGGCACCACCTCTTGCTCCTTGTCTGGGTTTGGATACACCCGGGAAACAATTCTTGGCTCTCATCCGTGACCACCACCCACCTGATAGCTTGCGGCAGACCGCTGTCTTGTGCCCAGGGTATTCCAGGGGGGGACCCCTATTTCTGGATGTCAGTTTCCTCATTGGAAAAATGAAGACATTGGTCTGGCTGGCTGGAGCATCCCAAGAATGCATTTTCCCATGAGGAAGGATCTTTCCTCCAATGCACTCAAACTCTCGTGGAGTTTCCACCCACTCACTTCAACATATACATTTATGTTTTATATCAAAGCAAACCGTGAAACATTTGTCGAGCTTCCCCGCTCTGCAAAGGGCACTGTGCTAGACACGGTGGGTGTGATGCTTATGTATTTTTATTCAGGGCATACACACACAGGCATATGCATATCTTTGTGTTTTAGACGGGTTTCCAGGCAAGTTCAGCTGGGACATCTATTCTGATGCATGGCCCCAGGTTCCTGCCATCTTTGCCCCACCACATGGCCCCCTTGGGGCCCAGAGAGCATCTCAAACAGAAAGGAGCCCCCCGGGGCAACATGAGCCAATGAGGTCTGCCCCCAACCCAGCAGTTAATGGCTGATCTGCTTCTCTGCGACAGGTGGGCATCTCCTGGATGGCCCGAGCTGACAGTGGCCAGGCCATCTGACACCGTCATCAGAGTGACTTGAAACCTTTGACTAGGGCACCTAGAAACAGGTTTGATCCTTTTCCAGACCTCTCAACACCGGCCACCCAGGTAAGGGAGTTCAGGCTTGTTCAGCATGGGGTTCTGTGGCTGTGTCTGTTGTCAGTGTTGCTAAGAGAAACATCAGCAGGGCACCCTGTTGTCCTTTATCACGGTGGCCTCTTTCATACCCGTCATTAGCAGGAGAGTCCAGGGGTTTAGGCTCTAAAGTCTATCAGACCTGGGTTCAAGTCCTGGAACCATCAATTACTAGCTGTGTGACCTTGGGCAGGTTCCTCAGCCTTTCTGTGTCTCAGCTTCCTTGTCTGTCAAACAAGGAAGCAACAGCACCCACCTTTGGTGAAGATAAAATAAGGTTATAGGTGAAAAAAGGCTTAGAATAGGACAGACACGTAGTAAGCTCGGAATGCAAGAAATGTTAACTGTTACTAATCGTAGTTCATTCCTTCTCGTGTTGATGGTCTGTCTCCTGCCCTAGAAGGTGAAGTCCATGAGGGCAAGGGCTCATCTACCTAATTCTTAGTTGAATCCCCAGATCCCAGCACAATAAACTGGCTTTGATCCGTTGAGTGAATGACAGTGTGAAAATGCCTTGCCTGTTTTATACAGAACCTTCAGGACAGTCCTTGAAGGTCCTTGCATGAGTCTGGATATGGGTTTGATTGTGTGTGACAAAACCCCCAAATAATAGTCCTTTCAATAAGAGAGATGTTGATTTTTCTCTAAGTAAAATTCTGAGCTAGGAAGATTTTTCCTCACAGAAACGTTAGGGTCCCAGCTTTCTGTACCTTGGGGCTTCACCATCGCTGGTCTACATGATCCACAATGGCCCATGACAGCCTCGCCATTCTACTCGGCAAGGAGGAAACCAGAAGAGGAGAGGACGCTACTTCCTTTAAGAGGGTGCATACGTCACTTGCATCCATGCCCCATTGGCCAGAACACAGTCACATGGCCCACTTAGCTGCAAGGGATGTTGGGAATTATAGTCTTCATTCTGGGTGGCTGTCTGCTCAATTGTGACTCTATTTCGAAAGAAGGGGAAAATGGACACTGAGGGACCCTCCGCCTTGATCCACCCCTTTATTTACCCTTCCTCCCTGCTTCCTCCCTCTGGCAACCAGTGATCATTTTACCATCCCCATACTTTTGCCTTTTCCAGAATGTCATATAATTGGAATCATAAAGTAGGTAGTCTTTTCAGACTGGCTTCTTTCACTTAGCAATGTGCCTTTAAATTTCCTCCATGTCTGGGGTGCCTGGGTGGCTCAGTTGGTTAAGCGTCTGCCTTCGGCTCAGGTCATGATCCCAGGGTCCTGGGATCAAGCCCTGATTCAGGGGGAGGTCCCTGCTCAGCAGGGAGTCTGCTTCCCTCTCCCACTGCTTCTCCCCTCTGCTCCTGCTTTCTCTCTTAAATAAACAAAGTCATTAATTAAAAAATTATTTAGAAAATTAAAATTTAAAAAAATATCTTCCATGTCTTTTGATGGCTTGATGGCTCATTTCTTTTTATTTTAACATTCCATTGGCTGTACCACTTCTTACTGACCCATTCACTTTTTTTTTTTTAAAGATTTTTTTTTTTTAATTTTATTGATTTGACAGAGAGAGATCACAAGTAGACAGAGAGGCAGTTAGAGAGAGAGAGAGGGAAGCAGGCTCCCTGCTGAGCAGAGAGCCCGATGCGGGACTCGATCCCAGGACCCTGAGATCATGACCTGAGCCGAAGGCAGCGGCTTAACCCACTGAGCCACCCAGGCGCCCCTGACCCATTCACTTCTTGAAGGATATCTTGGTGGCTCCCGATTTTAGGTGATTGGGACTGAAGGTGTTCTGCAGTCTCCTGGGGGTTTTTGTGTGGATATGAGTGTGAGCCCATTGGGGCAGCACCTTGGAGCAAGTTAAGAATATATTTGGCTTTTTAAGACACTGCCAAACTGCCTTCCAAAATGGCTGCACTGTTTTGCGTTCCCACCAGGAGTGAATTAGAGTTCCTGTCGCTCCACATTCCCATCAGCAGTCGCTGCTGTCAGTTTTGTGCATCTGGGTCCTTTTGTCAAATGTGTTGTGTCATGACCCCGTTTTAGAGTTGGGGATTATAAAATTTGGAGGGGCAGCTTGCCCAAAAGGGTAAGGCAGATAAGAGATTCCAGAACTTTCCCCCAGCCTATTTGACATTTGAGTCCAATACTCTCCTGCCACCCACTGCCCACCCCCAGCTTCTGCCTATGGCTGTCTCCCTGAGACTATGGACCAAAGCCCTGGGGTGATTCTTCCTGCCCCATGGTCAGGAGTGGCTGCTTTCCAGAGCTCTTATTCATTGTTTAGTGTCAGTGATCCCTACCCAAGCCCAAGGTCAATGAGGGAGAGCAATGAGGGCTGGGGACAAAGTGACTCGACTTGAGCCAAAGTTAGATGAGCCAAAATATAACCCTCGGAGGGGGCCAGGCAGCCAGGAAGGCTGGGATGCAGCCAAGTCCTGCCAGACTACTGGCCTCTGGCCAGTCCTTGAGTCTGAGGGCCCCCAGGCTCAACTACGGAAGGCTGGAGCTGCCGCCCAGATCATCAAAAACCAGGGAAGGACCAAAAATGCAGGGGAGAAATGCCAGACTGAGGTCAGATGCCACCTTAGTTGGGAACCAATCCTCAACTTCAACCCGATGAAGCAAGACAAGCAAATTATTTGCTTTTTATTGGTTTCCAATATATTGACAATTTGGTGTTCAAGGCAGACTTGAATCCAAGGCTGAAATGGTGCCCCTGTCTGTGTCCTCTGCTTCCCTCCTTGGGGTTTTCCATCCTGGGGAATGCACACCCCACGGGTGTGGTGGGGCAGTGACCAACAGCTCCAGATGCACAACCCGCTCATTTCCAAACCTGTGAAAGGAGAGCTGCTTTTTCCCAGGAGCTCCAAAAAAAAAGTTCCAGAGTTGAAGCTTATTGGCTGCTCTCCAGTCACGTGACCATTTCTGACCAATTAGTGAAATGAGGAGGAGAGAATGCACTGATTGGCCGGACTGGGTCAGGAGTGGGCCATGGTAGGGCAGTGTGTGCTGTTGGGGGTGGGGGGCAAAGAATTGGCCTGACATTGGGAGAGGACAGGAACCCCAAAGGGAAAACCCGGGTGCTATTTCCTGATGGAAGAAGAAACGCTAGGCAGAGAAAACAACAGATGACCCTGTTGGTGTCATGGCAGGGGGCGGGAGACGTGGAGCAAATGGGTCCTTCCTGTAGCTCGAAGCACCAGGGTGGCCTTTCTGTGACAGGTGTACTTCGGGCTCTGTGGATCTGGTATCTAAAAGCCCGATCTGTGCGCGCATACTCACACTCACGCACTCACACGTACTCACGCACTCACACACACCGTGTATCTGCAGGTGACGCTTCACCTTCAGGAAGGACTGTCCCCGAAAGTCCTTCCCACACGGAGTCCCTGTACTCCCTAGCAGCCCCCCGCATTTCAACCACCTCACATTTGGCTTCCTTGGGTTCCCCTCCACTTGCTGGGAAGACATTTTCCTTTCTCCCCCCACTTAAGCTGCTCTTAGTGGGTATTTGCCCGAAATGGGTTCCCAGAAGACCCCAGCCTCGGAAGGCTTCCTTCCCAAACAAGCAACCGCAGCCCTCCCCTCAGCCGCTGCCACTCCAAGGTGACTCGGGGCCTGGGGCTTGGGGGGGGGGGGGGAGAAGGAGGCAGCCTCTGACCCAGCAGGAGCCCCATCTCTGGGAAGCCCAGGGGCCTCTGTGGGGTTCCAGGATACAGGAGAGCAGGCCGTCCTCTGGGCAACAGCTGACATCCACCGTTGCTGCTCTGTTATGCATTTAGGGTGCGGTGTATGATTTCGTTAGAAAAAAGAGTGTTCTGCAGGAAAAAGATCTAAAACCACAGCATACGATGCTGCCTCCCAGGCAGCCGTGGCCAAGTGCTTTTTATGTTCCCTCCTTTGCTTGATTTCGGTCAACCACAAACCTCCTTGCCCTTCCCAGTCTCTCTCTCTCTCTCTCTCAGTGTCTCTTGCCTGTGGATTCTGCAGCTCTGACTCACCACACAGACCAGCTTAGCGTTCAGCAACCCCCGGCCTTATATGGTGCGCTCAGTGCTGCTGGGTCAACGAATGTTCATTCATTTCTTCGGAGGGGGCTTGTGCGTTCCTACCACGTCCCCAACGTGATTTTAGGTGCCAGGGATCCAGAGTGAACCAAGTGGGAAGGTCCCTGCTCTGTCATCTGGTAGAACCCCTGAGGGCAGGACCCTTCCTCTGGGTGTCTTGTCCCCCCATCCCTTGTCCAGCACCTCATTCAGTGCTGAACCGCAGTTGAACTTGGCGAATGTCTGTGGGTTGCTTATTTTCCACACTATTTTTCAAAGCTCCCACTTATGACAGATGCTGCAGAAATATTGGAACGGCTTGGTTCTCACTCTTCACGACTCCAGAGTATAAGAGGCAGCTGGTGATAGGTCCTGGAGAAGGAGGGGAGGACATGGTTAGAGACCCAGTCTTGGAGTGCTCTCGAGTAAATGGAAAGAATTGGCCAGCCTTCACTCCCGCCATACCTTGCTCATCGAAAACACCTCAGAGGTCAGCCTCCTAAGGGGCTCCCGGCCTGTCAGAGGGGAACAGACATGAAAGCAAATCTCTGACATATAAGGTAGAGAGTAAGAGGGTTCTGAGTGGAATGATAAAGGAAGGCTTGCAGGTTCCAGGGCCAGATCAAGAGGTCACTTCTGGGCGGTGACAGTGATGGGAAGTCAGAGAATGTGGTGCATTCCAGCTGGGCTTTGAAAACAGGGATGGGATACGGGACCTGCAAGGATGTTGGAAAGGGCATCCCAGGAGAAGGAAACGGTGAGAGTAAAAGCCTGGAGGTGGGACCCTGGGGCTTGGAAGACGGTACCAGGCAGGAAATGAGATGAGGGCAGACCGCTTCCTCCCTGCTGGCCTCCAGGCTTGGCTGTGCAGGCCTGTGGCCATCCTCAAGTCTGCCTTAAACTTCAGCCTGGTTTTAGAGTCAAGTGGCTCTTCCATTTTCCTTCTTTTCCCCTAAGCCTC